CCCCCCCCCCCAATGGACCATTTGCATTTTTGACTAAATTTTGATCTAAACAAGTCTAGACAAAAATTTCATCACAGCTTGAAAGAGCATCACAAAATTGGTAATATTCCAAAGTTTCGTTACAAAATGTTGTAAAATGCAGTTTTTCAATCATTTTGCATTACGCGGGGGAAATTGACAGCCCAATACCCTTTGAGGCTGTCAATTTCCCATTTGTAATACAACATGACTGAAAAATGGCAACGAAACTTTGGAATATTACTAATTTTGTGATGCTCTTTCAAGCTGTGATGAAATTTTTGTCTAGACTTGTTGAGATCAAAATTTAGTCTATATATCGCACTAGGAACGGCCCTGGCAAAAAGGGCACGTCAGGATCTGATCCCTCCTTAAATCTTACCCTGGCTCTTCAACCTCACACAAGTTAGGAGGTTTTGAAATACGCTCCTCGGAAATATTTTGTAATTTGTACCTTGGAAACGCCATTTTGTGTGTCAGAATTCTTCCTAAAATTTGTCCTCAACGAACTCATATTTCAGACAAAAAGTAACGAAAAACACAAAAAATAAATGTTTTAAAGCAGGGATGAAAAAGCCCTGGCCAGAGGGTGCTATTTTTTATGATAAAGCAAAAAAGACAAAATGAGATACAATAATTTGAGTAATAACATGATGATAAGTGAACTGTGAACAACAATTACAATTCAAATACAGTAGTTGATGGGCTGGCAGCACACATGACCGACACAACTCGGCACCCACCCCCCCCCCTACCAGATCATGCTGGGTACATCCCTGTTTTAAAGTCAAAATAAATTTAAAATATCACACCATCCGATCATCTAGGGCTGTGTCTTTGCACTTCAATGTTTATGACCAATCTTACTCTTTCTGATAACTAATAATCTTTATCTAACTTCTTTATCTAAAATAGAGCACATCTTATAACCCAAAAAAGCACTTTCATTTGAAAAAAATAACACATTCTATTTTTTGTATCGTGTGTTATGGAGTCTAATACTAGGCCTCTTTGCTTACTGTATCAACTTCTTTTCCAGGCGTCATTTCGTGGATAAATTATCCCTCACTAATCACATGAAATCGAAGAATCATAAAAAAAGGTAAAAATAGAATGAGTATATTCCAGCAAATATATATCTACATGTATTGAAGAGCAGAATCTTCTGTATGTTAACTGTAACACACGCTCAGAACTAATGAATACACGTTTCTGAAGTGGCAAGCAAACTTAAAAAGTATGTTTAGTGCTTTATATGTAAAATTATGCTAAAACGAAGAGATTTTAGATGGTACGCCAAAGAGAAAATGATCTCTGAAGCAGGGTGCGATAATTTGCGTACTTACGTACCGGAGGTACGCCAATATTACTGCCTGGTACTTCTTTGTTTTCAGCCAGGTAGGTACGCAGAACTCTTGCTATCTGCGTACTTATTTTTTGCTGGTACCACATGACCTTTCCAAGTCCAAGGTATTCAATACCGTAATTTAGTTGGTATATCATGTGTCTGAGATGTCTTGGCATGAAACATG